TGATCAAGTGATCAAGTTATTTTGGTGGTAATTGGACCACACTCAGCATTGCCCAGGATTTACCCCTGGTTCTGTGCTCAAGGTCACTCCTTGTTGTGTTCAGGAAACCATACATGATGCTGGGAACTGAACTAAGATCACCTGCGTGAAAGGCAAGTGCCATAGCTTCTGCACTATTTCTTTTTTTTAAATTATTTATTTATTTATTTTGAATACCCATCCCTCCACCAGTGACCATTTCCCACCACTGCATATCCCAGTATCCCTCCAACCCCCCCCCCCCCCCCAACCCACCCAGTCTCTGTGGCAGGGCATTCCCTTTTGCTCTCTCTCTCTCCTATTGGGTGTTGTGTTTTGTATAAGAGTTAATCCTGATTTTCAGGGAGAAATGTTGGATGATTTACTTTCCATTGATCACTTTGTTTATACGGAGATGTCGCGCGGCTGCACGATTTGAAGGAGAAGTCCTAGTTCCCGCATACTCGAGCTCTGCTTGTAGAGGCTTCTGGTCACCAGGGTTCCATCTGGAGGAGGCGGGATGTGGCACCTACCCCATCTGGGACTTCCTGGTGATCTCGGCTCTTTTTGGAACCTGGTGCCTTCTCCGGGAGCTGTGGAGCCCCACCCCTGCACTATTTCTTTGGCCCCATAATTTTGAAGTTTTTATAATGAAAAGGTAAAAATGGAAAATGACCTCAACATAAAAGTGAGAAAAATCAGCTATAAAATACCCAAAGCGAGTCAGGAGTAACTCTTGAGTGTAGAGCTATAAGTAAGCCCTGAACATTCTTATTTGTGGCCCAAAAACCAACCAACAAACAAAAACCACCTTAAATTTTAATTAGTAAATCGTAAGCAGTTATTTAAAACAATGCAGTGATCTCATTGTAATCTTTACCCAACTTCCCCCAGTGGTAACATCAAAACTTGTTGAATAATACTGCAATCCAAATAGTGTCAGATAATTCAATCAAGTTATAGAATACTTTTATCACTACAAGGATTCCTTGTGTTGCCCTTTTACAACCTACCTCCATTCCCAGGGTCATAAGTGAACCCTACCCATAACTCTTCCTGTCACTGAGAGCAAATATGATTTTGGTGTAAATCCCTGCAGATTCAGTATTTGGCAAACATCAAAGGAAACATCTTTGATTTCCCATGGAGGCATCTTTCAGGTGGCCTGTTCTGGAGTCCACAGGACAGTTCATAATTAACCCTCCCAGTAGCTTCCAGCTTACAGGCATCCAACCTTACTTTGGGTATTGTACTGATTAAGTACTTTCTGCACACAATCTACTACAATCTTGAGCAACAGCCCCCAAACCTGGATCCATTATTATTCCTACCTGGCAGATAAAGAAGCTAAAGGTGAAAAAGGTACTTTAATTAATCAAGGTACAAGGGAGAGAGGCGGAGATGGAATTTGAAATAAATCTCTTTGATTTTGTATTGTTCGTTTCTATTTTTTGGTCACAACCAGCAGTGCTCAGGGCTCACTCCGGCTTCTGTACTTAGGAATCAAGGCTGGCAGGGCTAGAGGACCATATGTGGTGTGGGGAATTGAACTCAGTCAGCAACAGGCAAGGCAAGTGCCATATGACTGTACTATCTCTCCGGTCCATTAATCTGTTTGACTTTGTGACCTTGCCCTGTTAATCGAAATACTCAACTAAGCAGGAAAAATCACAAAGGGAGGTAGGAAGGTTGAGTTGGAGAGAAAAATCCCTAAATTTTTGCAACCATTAGACTATTCTCTATTTTTATACTTCAGTAATCATTAGAAAATTGTATAAATGGGATCTTACAGTTTGTACCCCTTTAGGATCAGCTCTCCTCAAACCCTCCGCCCCACTTTATTCCTGGAAGATTTATTTATTTATTTAATGTAAGAGTATTGCTATTTATTCTGCCACTGATTAAGCTCCAAGTGCACTGATTGAAGCAGGCATGAACTCCGCATTACTTTTTAAAGAAAATTCTTCATAAAGTTGTCCACAATAATTGTTTACATTAAATATTTCAATACTAATCCCTCCACCATTACTTTGATTCTTCCCACCACCACCCCAGCCTGCCCCTAGGCAGATGATAAATAATTTATTTTGTATTGCTTGTCATGAATAGTATGAGCTGTCACGTGGCTGAGAAAGTGGCTGCATGCTCCTGGAATTCTAAAATTTTTAAATATTTGAGGTACGTAGGCATATTTGTGGCGTGCTGCTCTCTTCCAAGATTCATTTGTGAGTCTCTGAATCATGGCCATTAATGTGCTTAAGTGGCACCCAGAGGCAGTTCTTGGGCTTGACTGCCAGGAGACTGGAAGGGCAAGAAGATACAGAGAGGTAACCTATCCCTGACTCCATGAAGCCCGGAGTTTTCAGTACTGGTTCTGCATACCTGGGTTTTTCAGCAGATTCATTCTCATGCGTGGGGGGCTTGGGATGGGCCTGTGAAGTGGCAACAATTGGGTTCTGGAGGTTTGTGGCTGCTGGGGTTCATTTGGGGCAAGCGGAGGGACACACCTGCCCCCCTCTGAGGTGTCGCGATGGAATAAGCCTGGTGTGGGGTGGGGAGACATCTCTGCAGCATGCTGTTCTCCTCCGAGATTCATTTGTGAGTCTCTGAATGATGACCATTAATGCACTTAAATGGCCTGTTTTTTTTTTTTAAAAATTTTATTAGTGAGACATCATGAGGTACAGTTGTAGACTTACAAATTTTTGTGCTTGGGTTTCAATTATACAATGATCAAATACCCATCCCTCCACCAGTGCCCATTTCCTACCACCACGGATCCCAGTATCCCCCCCCCCCATTTATTTATGGGTCTCTGAAGCAAGGCCGATAAATGAGCTTGAATAGCTGAGCTGGGGGTGGTTTGTGGGTGTGATTCCCACATACCTAACTTTTTGGCCATTTAATTTCTCGGGAAACTCGGTCCCAAGTTGCTGGGGTCTGGCCAGAGCACAGCAGCAATTTTGGGGTATCAGGAAGCCTGAAGGCACCATCAGGCTGCTGAAGCACTCGTCCCCCTGGAGATTCATTTAACTTGTTGCATGTGTCAGTAGTTCACTCTTTTCATTGTTGAGCCAAATAACATGGGGTAGCTGTACCATGGTTTGTTGAATCATGTTCCCCTGGAAGGATATTTGTGTTGGTTTGTTGGTTCCAGGTTTTGGTATTACAAATAAAGTTGATATTTCATTCATTCGCAATTTTTTGTATGATTATAAACTTTTGCTTCTTGTGCATAAATACCTAAACATACAATTGCTGGGCCAGTGCTTAAGCCACTGCATAAACTTAGTTTATTTATTTATTTTTATTTTTATTTATTTATTTTTTTGGCTTTTTGGGTCACACCTGGCGATGCACAGGGGTTACTCCTGGCTCTGCACTCAGGAGTTACTCCTGGCAGTGCTCAGGGGACCATATGGGATGCTGGGAGTCGAACCCGGGTCAGCCGCGTGCAAGGCAAACACCCTACCTGCTGTGCTATCTCTCCAGTCCTAAACTTAGTTTTAGAAGAAGCATCCGAGCTGTTTACCAGAGTGATTGTAGTTTTATACCAGCAATGTATGAATGATCCAGTTTGTCTTTATCCTCATTTGAATTTTGTTTCTCATTTTTAAAATTTATTTATTTTTATAATTTTTTATTTTATAAAGTAGTTCACAATATTTCATTACATTTAATATTCAAACACCAATCCCACCACCATTATACCTTCCCACCACCATATATTGGGTGTTTTCATCCTGAACCCCAATTCCTGCTCCAAAGCAGAACTGAAATAATATATTTTGTATTGTTTGTTAAGAAAAACCACTGAACTGAATTTTGTTTCTGTCAATATTTTAAACAATTTTTCCAGGGACCAGAGCCTCTGTACAGCAGGCAATATGTTTGCCTTGTCTGCGACTAACCCTGTCTTGATCCCTGGCACCCCATATGTTTTCCTGAGCAACAGCCAGGAGTGATCCCTAAGTCACAGAGCCTGGAGTAATCCCTGAGCACCACCTGGTATGGTCCCCAAACAATTTTTTTCCTAAACTGATGGATATGTAGAGATCTAGTACTGTGGTTTTAGTTTCTATTTCAGTAATGATGTTGTTCATCTTTTCACATCCTTATTTTCCATCTGTATATATTTTGGGGGACATGCCACTTCGCATCTTTTGCCAGCTTGCTTGCTTTTCTTTCTTTCTTTCTTTCTTTCTTTCTTTCTTTCTTTCTTTCTTTCTTTCTTTCTTTCTGAGACATTACTGGTGCCTGCTTGAGCAAATTGATGAACAACGTGAGGACAATGCCACAGTGATAAATTTATTTATTGAATCACCGTGAGAACAGTTACTGGTTTAAGTCTGGTTTAAGTCTTAAAAGCTTTCTGGTTTAAGTCTCAGTCATACTATGATGAAACACCTGTCCCTTCACCAATGCACATTTTCCACCAGCAAAAATCCCAGTATACCTGCCCATCCCCGCCCTCCCCCACTTGTGTGGCAGATGATTTTTACATTAATCTCTCTCTACTTTGATTACGCATGTTCTGGAAAGGGTTATGTTGTTTGAGTTCCTGTGGCTGGTGGGTCAGAGAGACAGGACAGAAAGACGGGGGCCAAGGCCAGAGACATGGGGATTCTGGCCTCAAAGAGCTTTGGACTTGATGCTCAGCAAGAGATGGCATAGGAGGGGTTAAGGCACTTGCCTTGCATGCACCTGACCCCAGTTCCATTCCCAGACCGTTCCCGAGCATCACTAGGACTGACTCCCGAGCACAGAGCTGAAGTACCCCCAGAGCACTGCCAGGCATGGCTCAAACTCCACCCCCAAGTCCCAGACACACTGGAACCTTCTTCTGTGGTTTACAGGGAAGCCATCCAAGGGAGCAGCCTCCTTTCAATAGCAAAAAAAAAAGGCCATGCCTGGATTTTTGAGGTGGGCAGTCTGGGCCTGAGAGACACAGGGTGAGAAAGCCGGGCTCCTTGACGGAGGCGATGGGAGGAGGGCGATGGCTTGTGGCTGTGAATAACTGTGGCTTCTCAGATACTGTGGAGGGCACGCCTGCCCCTTCTGCCCAGGCAAGCAGCCCCAGTAGGAAGCATCCCCTGGGAAGAGAGGTGCTTCGTGTGGCCAAGTGGTTCCCACATCCATGCCTTCTAAGATTCCCTTTGCTCCTGGGCCTCAATGTTCCCTTTGGCTGGGATCCCATTCAGTAAGTTCTCCTGGGAGCAGCATGTACTGGCCACCTGCAGAGTTTCTCCCTTCTCTCTGACATTACAGCACCCCAAGCCACACTTGTGGCCCTGAGCCCATCAACCAGAGGGGTCCCCCTGAGCCCATCACCCAGAGGGGTCCCCTTGCATGATTGGCATGTCCCCAATAGTGTACCAGCTGCCCCATGCCAGGGTTAACCCCCTCCCCACTGTGTTCTCATGTGCTTGGCCGCATGTCTGCACACCCTTCCTGAATGAAGACACACGTCCTCCCCATCTGGACAAGAAGCCAGGAAACCATGAGAAGTTGGGCTCCACTGAGTTTAAGGAGCCTCAGACACCCCCCAAGGGAAGTATAAGGCACCTGGCACCAGGGGAAGAAGCTTGGCAGGGGAGGTTCCAAGTCACCTGTCCCCAGCCCTGCCTGGCCTCACCCTGGTTTTCCCCAATCCTCATTGGTTCTCTCCGTGCCCCTCACCCCCACTCAGGCTGCCTCACAGAGGAGGCAAGTCCTGGAATCTGCTTTCCCGGGGTCCCTGGAGGCTCAACCACCATAAACTACTGCAATTAGAGGCTTTGCTTGCACCAAAACTGTCGTTCCTGGGGCTGAGCCGCCTCACGAAACCCTACCAGCCCCCCTGGACTCCCATGAATGCACGGCATCACCCACGAGAATGACAGTCTCAGGCTGGCCCTCCCCTGCCCTCTGTCTCCAGCTGCTGGTTTATTTCTGAGACTCCCAAGTCCTGCTTTCATTGGCTCGACTGTCAACGGCTCCTCTGCTAACGAGACACCACTCAGAGGCAGTTTGGTTTCTTTTGTCCTTAGTATCCAGAGAGGTGACAGGTACCCACTGAGTGATCAAAGGAGTATGGGCCAGGGAGATACTCCAGGGCTGTGCACAGGCTTTAGATGTGTGAGGGGACCAGCACTGCAGGGTCCCTTGAGAACCATCAGCAGCAGCCCCTGAGCACTGAGCTGGGAGTAGCTCCAAGTTACTCCCCCAAAACTTTTTCTTTCTTTCTTTCTTTCTTTCTTTCTTTCTTTCTTTCTTTCTTTCTTTCTTTCTGGGTCACAGCGGCGATGCTCACTCAGGGTTTACTTCTGGCTCTGCACTCAGGAATTACTCCTGGTGGTGCTCAGAGGACTATATGGGATGCTGGGAATTGAACCCGGGTCGGCTGTGTGCAAGGCAAACGCCCTACCCACTGTGCTATCACTCCAGCCCCACCCCCCCAAAAAAAACTTTTTTGTGAAGTGAAGAAATCACTGTGAAGAAAGCCACGCGGGTTCCGGGGCCGAGACCTCCAAGCCTACTCGGATTGGAGTCGAGCATCTTCCATCCAGATCCTCCAAATTCCAGCAGGCGGGGGTCACACCCACCACCTGGCCCCCTGGCGCCGTGTAATCCCATCAGCGGCCAAGACTCAGAGACTATAAAATCCAGATCCTGGAACCGCGCGGCCGCATTTGCGGCCGCGCGACATCTTATCAAAACTTTTTTTAATGACATTTTATTATCTCATTCCTACTTTGGACAAACCTGCAGGCTATTGAATGTAGCCTGCCCACAGTGCAGAGTCTGGCAAACTCCCCATGGCATACCAAATATGCCAAATACCAGTAACAATGATGGGTCTCATTCTCCTAAAGAGCCGTGAATATAATCTCAGGGCTAGGATGAAAGAGGCGTTACTGGGGCCTGCTTGAGGCAATCAACGATTAACAGGATGATGAAATGAAATGAAATGAAATGAACTTTGATTACATTTAATATTTTGACACCAGGCCCACCATTATATTTGGGATTTCCCCCAACACTCAGACACACCAAAAAGGCAACATTAGACAATTTGTTTTCTATTGCTGATTATGAATAGCACCGCAGCTGCACGATTTTGGAATTCTGAAACTTTAATAATTAATTCTGGAGGGATTTCTGCCGAAAACCGCTGGGGTCTGAGATTTGTTTGTGTGTCTCTGGGATCATGGCCGTTAAGCAGTTTATTAAGTATCTGGAGGGGCCGTTCGTGGGTGGTGACTTGGTGACTTGGGGTCTTGTTGGGGTGCGGGAGGACAAGGGCCAGCTCCACTCCCATCCCATGAGGCCTCGCGTGTCTCATCACTGCCAGCCTGTACCTCACTGTCCAATGGCTTCTGGTGTCTTTCTATCTTTCTTTCTTTCTTTCTTTCTTTCTTTCTTTCTTTCTTTCTTTCTTTCTTTCTTTCCAGGGACCAGAGCCTCTGTACAGCAGGCAATATATTTGCCTTGTCTGCGACTAACCCTGTCTTGATCCCTGGCACCCCATATGTTTTCCTGAGCAACAGCCAGGAGTGATCCCTAAGTCACAGAGCCTAGAGTAATCCCTGAGCACCACCTTTCTTTCTTTTTTTCTTTCTTTCTTTCTTTCTTTCTTTCTTTCTTTCTTTCTTTCTCTCTCTCTCTTTCTTTCTTTCTTTCTTTCTTTCTTTCTTATGAAAATGCCTGGAGGGAGGGGTATTCCTAGGAGAATTCTTTATATATTTCAGACATTAGTCTTTAGTTGAAGGTATAGTTTGCAAATATATTCTCCAATTTCATGGCTAGTCTTTCTTTTCTTTTCACAAAACCCCTTTCCAAAAAGATCAACATCCTCAATAAAATCTTGGGAAGACCAATTAAAGAATTGAGAAAAGTGGGCTGGAGAGATATCTCAATGAGATAAGTGAAGGCTCTGCATGCAAGAGGCCTGGCACCTGGCACCACATAATCCCTGGCACAGAGTTGGGAATAGCCCCTGAGCATTGCTGGGTGTGGTTTCTCCCGACTCCTCAAAAAAAGAACTGAGAAAAGTCACATGACGATATGAAATATGAGACTAAGTGGCACATTTCCTGTTTTTGTAATAATTTGGGTAGATTTCCTAAAACTGAGAATCTTTATTGAATAGTGCCCATACATTTAAAATCCAGAGGATCTTGAGAGTGATGAAATAAAGAAGATATTGGTTAAATAGCACAAACCTGCAGTTGTAAGATTAAAAATCTGAGGGATCTAATGTACATCATGGTAAGAATAGCCAATAATAGATGACAGGATGGATTAATAGTTGATACTATGGTGCCAATGTTTATTTAATTTATAAATGCATCAACTCTTTGTGAACCTTAAACTCACACAATGTTATGTGTCAATTCTATCTTAATAAAACTATAAAAAATAGGAGAGGAGTTTGGCACCTGATGTCAGGATTTAGCAAGGCAAAACAAGCAACCATAGTTCTTCCCAGCACCTGTAAGAGAAGAGTTAAGGAGAATATTTCAACAGAATTTTTAGATATATTGAGACATTTAACTCGTTCGCCATATGAGAAAGGGGGATGCTTTCCTATAACCACTTAGCCATATGGTGGAGTCCAAATGGTATCACTGTAGAGAATGGGAATGTCTTCAAGGGGATAGCATAGGCATTTTACGACCAGGTTGGATTAGAGACACTGATCAGACCTATGACTGCTATTAGAAAGGACAAGAAGAGTTCTGGAAAAGATTGTACATGGATCCTAGTTTGGGGGCTATCAGGAACATAAAGAATTTTTTTGGTAGAAGTTTGAAGGTAAAATTCTGGACCAGAACTGTCTTATCCATCAGTTAATCATGTTTGATCAATTGATTTGATTGTCTTCCAAGGAACCTATGAGCTTTTTGGGTCCTGTAAATGTCAGGCTTGAGCCTTCCAGGAAGGACATGGCCTAAGGGTAGCAGAGTGAGGCATAAATAGATTGTGGAAAGCATCTAGGAAGCAGCTGGGAAGCTGCACTTAGAACTTGCCATCTTGTCCCCTTTAAACTGCACCCGCCACCCAGCAAGGCCACAGGTCAGTCCTAGGAAGCCCTGGAAGGCTCCCAAAGAACTCAGAAAGCCCTGGATAGTTCTGGAAGATTCCATGCCCAGTCTTTACTTCTTCATGTCTCAGCAAGCATAAACTGACATCCTAACTCTAGTAACCTATCTAAACAACAACCACAAATAACATTTTCAGATTGCAAAAGTCACAAATGGGAAGGAATACAGAACCCCATCATGCTTAGTGAATGAGGATCGTAGCCCTGAAAACCCAGTCAGTAATAACCAGCTATATAACCTCTCCGACAAGCACTTTAGACAGGAAATGCTGAGGATGTTTAAGGAGTTCAAAGAAACAATGCAATAAACAACCAATCAAACACAAGAGGATATGAAAGCAGAAGTTAGAAAACCACAAGTAGAAATGACAGAACTAAGGAATTTGATCACTTAATCACTTAACTTCCCGTTAGTCGTGGATTTGCTCGAGCGGGCGCCAGTAACGTCTCCATTTGTCCCTGTCGCGTGCTAGTGTAGCCCAATGGCATCTGTTCGCTCCGGGAATATGAAGGGCCTCAAACCGATCGTTCATGATCTTGACAAAGAAGTCTGACCATCTGGAAGGTGGGCGGCCACGCGGTCTTTTGACATCCCATGGAATCCAGTCAGTAACAGCTCTAGTTCAGCGGTCGTCTTTAAATCTCATTACGTGACCAGCCCATCTGATTTTCGACACCTTAGCAAATGAGACAGCGTCCCTGATTCTTGATCGTCGATGGATGTCAGAACTCCGGATTCTTTCTCTCATTTGAGTGAAACGTGATATTCCAAGCATAGCTCTTTCTATTCTTCTTTGGGAGACCTGAATAGCGTTCTCATCTTGTTTGCGTAGGGCCCAGGTCTCTGAGGCATATGTTAATGCAGGAAGAACAGTGGAATCAAAGAGATGTGCCCGGAGCTGGAGGTTCTTCGTCCTCTTAGCTATTTCTTCGACGTTCTTGAAGGCGTTCCAAGCCGCTCTCTTCCTCCTGCGCAGCTCGGGTGCCAGGTCATTTGTCATGTTGACCTCTCGACCTAGGTACACATAGCTGTTGCATTCGGAGATGGTCGTTCCATTGAGAGCGAATGGGGCGTCAGGAACAAGGCTGTTTCTCATAAACATTGTCTTCGTAAGATTCAGCTGTAGTCCTACCTTTCCACACTCACGGTCAAAGTCGGCCAGCATTTGTGCTGCTTGGCTGATGTTTGGTGTTATTAAAACAATGCCATCAGCAAAGCGGAGGTGGTGTAGTTGCCGACCATCTATCTTCACTCCCATTCCTTCCCATTCCAGTCGTCACATGATGTTCTCGAGGGTGGCACTGAAGAGTTTTGGTGAAATGTTATCACCCTGCCGAACCCCTCTCTTGACATCAACGATCACTTCTTTGTAGAATAGTGAGATCCTGGTAGTGAATCCGCAATACAGCTCACGGAGGATACTGATGTATTGGGCTTGAATGCCCTGATTGGCTAGGGCTTCAATGACCACTTCCGTCTCAACAGAATCAAAGGCCTTCTTTAAATCAATGAATGTTAAACAGAGCGGCATCTTGAACTCCTGAGAAACCTCAATGAGCTTGGTTATTGTGTGGATATGGTCGATGGTGCTGAATCCTTTGCGGAACCCTGCTTGCTCGCATGGTTGTCCTTCATCTAGTGTTCTGCCAATCCTATTTAGGATGACTCAAGTGAACAACTTGTAGATGACAGACAATAGGCAGATCGGGCGATAGTTGCCAATGTCATGGATGTCTCCCTTCTTGAACAGTAGTACGGTCCTGCTGGTTTTCCATTGGGACGGAACCTTGCATTCAGACAGGTAGCGAGTGAAGAGCCGAGCCAGTGTATTGATGAGTACTGACGGCAGGTTCTTCAGGTGTTCAGGTCTGAGCTTGTCTGGGCCGGGTGCTGTTTGTTTCTTTACCGACGAAATGGCGTGTCGGATTTCGGAAGGGAGAACGTTGGGAACGACATATCCATCCTGTGGAATTTGGTATGTCGGCAAGTGGACATGGCTATCGAAGAGATTTGAGTAGAAGTCGTGGATAATCTTCTCCATTGCCGTTCTGGAGGATGTGATGGATCCATCAGGACGTCGGAGGGCAGTCATCTTGGTCTTATAGTTGGCGAAGGACAGGCGGGCGTTACGAATACTTTTCCCGGCTTCTGCCGCATCTACCAGTACTTCTGCTCTTCTCTCTTTGAGGTCTTCCTTGATCGCATCTCTGCACTGCTTTGCGAGCTCGGACGTTAGCTTGCGGTTGCCTGAGGCATGCGCCAAACCATGCTGGTGAATTAGCTCAAGAGTTTTCGAAGATAGACGATTTTTTGTGGCTATCTCTCTCTTGGCGTTCCTCGCACATTCATGGAGGTGTTGAACCAGTCGATCGTATTCCTCGTCAATGTTGTCAACAATGGCATCTTCCCATGTTGCCGCAATAGTACCAAAGAGTTCCCAGTTGGTGGTCATTCTGGGAGTTCTCTTTTTGAACTTTGCAGCCCTTTCTCCCCGCTCTGTGAAGTAGAATTTTGCACGAAGAAGACGGTGGTCCGATCCCGTTCGAAATTTTGGGACAACAGCGACATCGGTCAGGCAAAACCGTCGATTGAATATGATGTGGTCTATTTCGTTGTGGAATTGTCCACCGGGAGACTCCCATGTCCATCGTTTAGATTCTGCCTTCTGGAACTGTGAGTTACCGTGAATGGTCTTGGTCAACATGATGAACTCAGACAGTCTCTCACCCTGTTCATTCCATTCTAGGCCATGGGTCCCGATGTGAAGTTCTTCAGCTGATCTTCTCGGTCCTATCTTGGCATTAAAATCAACCACAATGATCTTGTAGAAGGTGTGGTCTTCTTTATAGAACTTCTCTAGCTCCATGTAGAACTTCTCGATTTCTCTTTCATCATAATGAGATGTTGGTGTGTAGACAACGAAGATAGAAACTGCAGGCAGTGAGCCACATCTATTCAAATGTAAACGTCCGATTCGGGTTGTTAGGCATTCGAATGAATCAGTGCTCTTGGTCAAGTTTGTGTTGACAAGGACACCGACGCCTCCAACACCTCTTTTATCGCATGTTCCGAGGAACAATTCTTCTCCAGTGTCGAAAACGGCATGGTGAGATTGATGCCTTCTTGTCTCGGTCAGACCAATGATGTCATACTTGATCATTCGCGCTTGTACCATCAGGTCCTCGATGGATGCATCTGATGCTAGTGTATGTACATTGAAAGTACAGACGATCATTTTTGTCTTCCTTCGTTGTGGAAGCCTACGTCGGCCTCTCCTTTCTCATCCTTCTCAGTGCTGCCATGTCGGTGAAGCCTTCAGGGTCAGGTGAATGAGACCAGTTGTCGTTACTGGTTTTGGCATATCGAATTTGATAGGTAAAATGAAAAGCTCACTGAAGGCTTGAGAGTAACTAAGAACAAAATCAGTGGGCTCCAAAGTAGAAAACCTCCAGAAAACAACAGAAGATGGAAAAAAAGACTTAAAGTAAATGAACCGTAGACAAGATAACTGGGTGAATTCAAGAGGAAAAACATAAGACTCAGGAGCCTGGGGGCCAGGAAGACAACCCTGAGGAAGAAGCAACAGTCAAAGACAGTGTTACTGGGAAGTTCCCAGAGCTAAAGAATGCATGCACCCAAATCCAGGAGACCTGAAGTGTACCAGCTGAAAGAGACACAAATGAAGATACTCCAAGACACATCCTAATCAGAATTCTATCCATAGAGATAGAATACTTAAAGCATCAAGAATAAGGAAGGAAATTACATATAAAAGAGGGATCTTAAGAACCAATATCAGAAGGCGCTGGAGTCAGGATGGAGGAGAATGGCGGGAGCCTTGGCCCTGGAGGATCCTGGATGATTGTGGTGGTGCCTTCACCATGGGAATCATTGGAGGTGGGATCTTCCAAGCCATCAAAGGTTTCCGCAATTCTCCAGTGGGAGTAAACCACCGACTTCGAGGGAGTTTGACAGCTCTTAATACCAAAGCTCCACAGTTGGGAGGAAGCTTCGCAGTCTGGGGAGTTCTCTTCTCCATGATCGACTGCAGTCTGGTTCAGGTTCGAGGGAAGGAAGACCCATGGACCTCCATCACGAGCGGGGCCTTAACAGGAGCCATCCTGGCGGCAAGAAATGACCCTGTGGCCATGGTCGGCTCTGCTGAGATGGGTGGCATTCTCCTGGCTTTGGTCAAAGGAGCCGGTATCGTACTGACAAGGTTTGCCTCTGCACAGTTTCCCAGGGGTCCGCAGTTTGCTGAAGACCGGTCCCAGTTACCTTCGACCCAGCTGCCACCCTCCCCTTGTGGTGACTATCGGCAGTGTCAGTAGGACTTCTTACCCAGGATCCCGTGACAGGATGAGCTGTAGTTCAAGAAGGGATTCCTGTTAGTCTGTTTTAAAAACTACGGCCAAACAGGCAATGAAGAGACATTCAACACTTTTCTATTTAATGAAACACGGAGTGTGTAAAAGATTGTTCACTTATTTATTCACACTTGGGTTGCCTTTGTGATCAAAATAAATGTCTAATATCTTGAAAATAAAAAAAAAGAGCCAGTATCAGGGGCTGGAGTGATAGTACAGTGGGTAGGGCATTTGCCTTGCACGCGGCCAACCCAGGTTTGATTCCCAGCATCCTTTATGGTTCCTTGAGCACTGCCAGGGGTAGTTCCTGAGTGCAAAGTCAGGAGTAAGCCCTATGCATCACCAGGTGTGACCCAAAAAGGGGGAAAAAGTTAGTATCAGTAGGAGGCAACCAAACTTAGAGGGAAATATTCTATTATTTCAGTTCTGCTTTGGGGTGGGGATTGGGGTTCAGGATAGAAACACCCGAAATATGGTGGTGGGAAGGTGTAATGGTGGTGGAATTGGTGTTTGAATATTAAATGTAATCAAATATTGTGCTGGAGCAATAGCACAGCAGTAGGGCGTTTGCCTTGCACGCAGCTGACCTTGTGGACCCAGGTTTGATTCCTCCGCCCCTCTCAGAAAGCCTGGCAAGCTATCGAGAGTATCTCACCCATATGACAAAGCCTGGCAAGCTACCCGTGACGTATTCAATATGCCAAACACAGTAACAACAAGTCTCACAATGGAGATGTTACTGGCCCACTCGAGCAAATCAATGAACAACGGGAGGGCAGCGGACAGTGCTATAGTGCTACTTTATAAAATAAAAAAATTATAAAAGAGTCAGTATCTATATTGCAAACCATAATGCCCCAAAGTAGAGAGCGAGTATGGAGGAAATTGTCTGCCATAGAGGCAGGGGTAGGGCTGGGATGGGGAGGAGGAATACTGGGGATATTGGTGGTGGAAAATGTGCACTTGTGGAGGGATGGGTGTTTGATCATTGTATGACTGGAACTCAAACATAAAAGCTTTGTAACTATCTCATGGTGATTCAATTAAAAAGAAAAGAAAAGAAAAAAGTCACAGTAGATGGGGTTCGATGCCACTAGCAGGTCAACCTGTACACATAGGGTGAGAGCATCAGCAACCCTATGATGCCTTCAGGCTTCCTGATACCCCCAAATTGCCACTGTACCTCTGGCCAGACCCCAACAAATCGGTATCAAGTTTCCTGAAAAATTAAACAACCAAAAGTTAGGTATGTGGGAGCCACATCACAAACCACCTCCAGCTCAGTTATACAAGCTAATTTATTGGCTTTGCTTCAGAGACCATAAATAAATCTTGAAAGAGATCAAAGTCATAGTTAATCTATACAAGGCAGAACAGACCAGGGTAAATCAGAGTGTGTGTGTGTGGGAGGGGGGGATGGCGATTCAGCCTGGTGCTCACCCAAGCAGAGCCCCCAGCAACCGCTTGCTCCCACAACCCCAAATCGCTGCCATGCCCCCTACCAGACCCCACTGTTTCAGGAGGGGCCTCACTGAAATATAATTTGCTGAAAATTCAGGTATTCAGGTGACTGAAATCTCCAGGCTTTCTTGGGGTTGGGATGGGCTCCGTTCCCCCACTTTCCTGTACCTGACAGTCACATCCAGACCCCAAAGCTGTCACCCAGTTAAGAAAGCTAACCTATGCTGCCACCAGCAGGTCAACCTGTACCTGTGGGGCGAGTGCATCAGCAACCTCATGGTGCCTTCAGACTTCCAGATGGCCCAAAATTGCTGCTGTAGCTTTGACCATACCCCAACATCGTGGGGCCAAGTTTACCAAGAAATTAAAGGGCCAAAAGTTAGATATGTGGGAGCCACACCCACAAATTACCGCCAGCTCAGCTATATAAGTTCATTTATTTGCCTTATTTCAGAGACCCAAAAATCTCCAAAGAGATCAAAAGACATAGTTAGGGCCGGTAGTGCAGAGGTAAAAGGGAACCCGTGACTGAAATCTCCAAGCCAGCTTGGATTGGGACTGGGCTTCCCCCCCACCCCACCCCCGCCACCCGGGCCCCCAGTTTTCCAACACTATGGCAGTCACACCCACAAACTGCCCCTGGTGCCATGTAATCTCATCAACGGCCAAGACCCAGAGACTTTAAACTAAAGCTTCCAGAAGAGAACAACACAGAATTTCCTGAACATTATATTCTATCCATAACAAGCAACACAAAACAAATCACCTCACATTGCCTTTTCAGCAGGTTTGAGTGGTGGTGGGACTGGTGTCGAAATATCGAATGTAACCAAAGTAGAGAGAGAGTATGAGGAAAATTGTCTGCTACACAAGCAGGGGAAGAGTTGGAACGGGGGTGGGGGTCTAATGTTGGGGCGGAATACTGGGGATTTTGGTGGTGGAAAATGTGCACTGGTGAAGGGATGGGTGTTTGATGATTGTATGACCGAAGCTCAAACAATAAAGCTTTGTAACTATATCTCACCGTGAATCAATAAATGGGAGGTGGGGGAATCATAATAAAATAAAATTAACGTTCTGAATTTTAAAAAAGTAATGTGGAGTTCATGCCTAATTCAATCAGCTTAATCAATGGCCAAATAAATAGCAGTACTCCTACATTATATATATATATATATATATATATATATAAAGAAAACTATTCCAAACTTACCTTCCTGATAAAAATACTGAATGCCCTGAACAAACACCATGACTTCCTAGCACCTGTATTGAAAACCATAATGCATAAAAGGAAAAGAAGAGAGAGAGCAAGAAGGAAAGTGCCTCCCCTAGAGGGAGGCTGAGGTGGGGGTGGGGTGTTGGGGGATGGTGGGAGGAAAATGGAGACATTGGTAGTGGGAAATGTACACCAGTGGAGGAATGGGTGTTGGATAACTGTATGACTGAAATCCAATCATGAACAACTTTGTAATTTATTGAATATCTCATGGATATTCAACAACAAAAAAAGTCACAGCAGAGGGGCTGAAACAATCATACAGCCAGTAGGGTGTCCACCTTGCACACAGCCAATTTGGTTTTGATTTCTGGCATTCCATATGGTCCCCTGAGCCAGGAGTAATTCCTGAGCGCATAAACAGGATTAACCCTTGAGCATCGCTGGGTGTGACCCAAAAATTACACCCCCCAAAAAAAAGTTATAGTGGACTTATCAAATTATACCCCCTGGGCCAAAGACAATGAGGGGGAAATAGTAAAATTCAATGAAATTAATGCCTCACCAAGAATACTTCACTCAGCCAGAATCTTACTCAGATTTGAAGAAACACTACACAACTTCACGAATAAACAACAGCTCAGGAACTTCATAGACTCAAAACCAACTTTACAGGAAGAACCAAAGTGGCTACTTTAAAGCAAGACAAACTTTATAGACAGACCAAACTTATTTTACTTTTACAGAAAGATGGTACAAAACTCCATGACAATAATCTCTCTCAAGGTCACCAGTCTAAATATACCAGTTAAGAGACACAGAGTGGTCATCTTCTTCCTCTTCTTCTTTCTCCTCCTTTTCCTTCTTCTCTGTGCTCAAGGATCACTTCTGGCAGGGCTTGGGAGATTATATGGAATGCTGGGAATTAGACCTGAGTCACCCATCACGATCACAATCATCCTGTTGTTCATCAACTTCCTCGAGCAGGCATCAGTAACATCTCCTTTTTCCTAGCCCTGAAATTTTAAAAGAGCCATTTCAATGCTCTTTCAGGATTAGGAGAATGAGACCCATCATTGTTACTGGTATTAGGCATATTGAATACGACACAGGAAGTTTGCCAGACTCTGCCGTGCGGGCAGGATACTTTTGGTAGCCTGCCAGGTTCTCCTAAGGAAAATAAGATAATAAGATGTCGCACGGCCGCAAATGTGGCTGCGCGCTTCTGGGAGCTGGGTTTTATAGTCTCTGCGTCTTGGCTGTTGATGGGATCAACCTGGTGCTGGTGGCAGCTGGTGGGTGTGACGCCTACCTACTGGAAGATGGAGTCACCCATATGCAAGGTAAATGTTTTACCTGCTATACTATCTTTCTGGCCCCAATCTTGCTTATTCATTTGAAAAACCTGCTTCTGATTTCACTGACCTTTAATATTATTTTCTTGTCCTCCTTTTTATTGTCTTCCTTCTGCTTATTTTGTGTTTCATTTATTGTTCTTTTTCTAGTTTCTTGAAATGTGAAGTTAGAATATTTATTTGAGCTTTTTCTTAGTGCCTGATGAAAGCTTGTATTGAGTGCCTGATGAAAGCTTGTATTGCTACAAAATTCACTTTTAGCCTTTGCTGTGTCCCATGGGTTCTAATAACTTGTGTCTTAATTCTTATTCATTTGAAGAATCATTTTAAAAATTTCCTCTTTGACACCAATGGTTATTCAACAGTTTGTTCACTTATTCTGTTGAGACTGAAGCGGTCATCGAAGCCCTAGCCAAACAGGACGTTCAAACTCAGAACATCAGGATCCTCTGTGAGCTGTATTACTAATTCACCACCAGGATCTCACAAGGAAGTGATCATTGACGTAGAGAGAGGGGTTCGCAGGGTGATACCATTTCATTGAAACTCTTCAGTGCCACCCTCAAGAACGTCATGTGACAACTGGAAAGAAATGGGTGTGAAGATAGACGGTCGGCAACTACACCACCTCTGCTTTGCTGATGACATCGTTCTAATAACACCAAACATTAGCCAAATGGCACAAATGCTGGACGACTTCTACTGTGAGTGTGGAAAGGTAGCTGAATCTCACCAAAACAATGTTCATGAAAAATGAACTAGTTTCTGACGTTCCATTTGTGCTCAACGGAACAAACATCTCCAAATGCAGCAGCTATGTGTACCTGGGTCGAGAACTCAACAGGAGGAGCGACTTGGCACCAGAACTGTGCAGGAGGAAGAGAGTGGTGTGGAGCACCTCCAAGAGCGTGGAAGAAGTTGTTAAGAAAATGAAGAACCTCCCGTTCTGGGCACATCTTTTTGACTCTATCA